TTGTGTGTGTGTGTGTGTGTGTGTGTGTGTGTGTGTGTGTGTGTGTGTGTGTGTGAAATCTCTAGTCCCGTTAAGCTGCTATTGGTTTGTATTGGTTCTTTGGATAGTACAACTAGATTTTGTAGTAATGATTGTCTCTTGCCTGTCGCCACCTGTTTTTTCTTACTCTTCCGATATCGACCGGTGATCGTGTACTCTTAAACAGTCGTGAATTTAGGCCCATGTTTGATTCCGAAGATTCTCCATATCCAGTCCTGTTTGTAGTTAAACCGATCTAAGTCAAACAAAACTTACAGCTCAGTTAACACAAAATGGGCCGTGCAAAAATCATTACATTGGACGCGGGACTATCGTGAGACAGGACAAAAAATGGGTGGAAAGGAAAGTGAAATTGCAATAGAGAAAGTTTCTTCAATCACTGATTTTCTCGGCGATATTCACCTGTTACTTTATACTTGTTAAAAAAAAAGAAAAAACGGGTTGAAGTGATCATACGGAAAGGAAAGAAATCTGTATTGTCATGTTGGAGAATGAGATGCGGACAAATCGTGACACAGGTGATCTACTGTGTTCGGGAGAAACTCTTCTTCGTGAATTTTTCACTGGTCCTTGCGATGATGACTATATGACAGTAAGACGAGAGTTTTCACATGGATAAACGAGGTAAGACTTGTAAAGGAACAGCGAATTATAATGGGCAAGACACAGTAGTGTACAAGTGAAGCGATAAACAAACACTGTCGTGAACAAAGCTTGTTTTCGATAACTTTTTACTCAGGCCCATACAGAAGCTTAGGCGACGTCTATGTGTGGGTTCGAATCCTATCGAGGCTCGTGAACTTTTCACAATCTCAACATAAAAATCTTCAATCTGCCAAACAACAATGTAAACAAGTATTTTCACACTATTTCTCAACTCGTCCGTTGTCGCTGGCTTCTTCTTTAAACTATTTGTTCCAATTTTGGTCGATCCAGTTTGAACAAAATGCATTTCACGTTGTTTCACAGTTTAAGAGGCCAGTTTTTTCTCTTTAGCGAATTGGAAGGTTTGAATTTTTCGCATGTTCCCCAAAAACAGATTTGACGCATGGAGCCAAACCAAATGCGCTTTGTCACCGTTCGTTAAGTCTATCCTATAATGACTGACAATTGTGACTAGTTTTTCACGAGCAACAAAAGATAAACACAAAGCGACCGCCCTTTTCCCACCACAAACGATTCAGGATAGGTGTGCGTGAATAGGCTTCTTAGTTGTGATCACCCATTGTGCAACTGAAAATTCCACTCGGCAGTGTGTTTTGATCTCAGTAAATCACGTGATAGAACCAACCATTCGATCGCTTAGTTCGAACAAGGAGATAATCAGGGAAATAATTATCCTGTGGACGCGCATGTCTACAAATTGTTTGTCGCAGATCATGTATAGTTCACTAGTCCAAAAGAACAACCCTTGGATCATTCAGTCATGCTTAAACAGTTTTGATAACCAGCGCATTCGAATAAGGGTATCATACATCGTTCGCAGCATAAACTCTGCGGTGAACTAGAAAAATCTGTCGTGTACGCAGTGAGTAGCCTGTATTTTCAGTGACAGAATGTAACAAATAATCATAGAATGGTCCCTTGATACATTTATATTTATATTTATATATTTATATTTATTTTCACACACGTCTGGCACCAGACTGTGTGCCAAATAAATCATGGTACAATAATCTTTGTGAAAAAGAAAGACGTTCCATGAAGTGCATGTGGGCGGAATACGCCCGGATTGCCCAGGCCAAGGCAGGTGAATTTTCTCGAGAAATCCACAACCGGAGCCTTCGGTTAGCCAAAGCCTGATCCACAAGGCAGCGGAGCGGTGTGCGAAAACCGCAATCTATTGGGGGCCGGTGTCCAGTTCATCGGATCATTCGCCCTTTGGACAGGGTCATTCGTCCAAGGTGCCCAATACACCTTGATGCCCAATCGAGCCGGTGACCACTGTCACAACCGAGAGGGTGCGTGTGGTTCGTATGCCTCCTTATGGTTGGTTTCTTATCAGGGGTTTTGGCCAACTCACCTACGTGAATTACCAGTGGTCCACCGACCCGGTTATAGCCCCGGATATCGGCTTTTCTTCTGAATTTTATGGGAAAATACCGACACGAAAAGGCAGTGAGTAGGACTTCCTCAGCAAAGGCTATTTGAGACCCTTGGTCGTATGGGAGCATTTTGCGAGGTGCAAGAGGAGGGTTACCGGTAGCAACCCTATACATCCACCCCCGACCATACTGAGGCTTTTGGAGGTAAGCAATGATACATTATCATATCATATCATATCATTACAAAAGCAATGATACACGCGATTTTTGAAAAGGCACGTAATAAATCAGCCATCTTCTAGCATGTCGCTGTGAAAAAATAAATATTAGGATATACCGGTACAGTAGTGTCTCCCAAACCACACCGTGGCCGTATTTTGAAGGGCTCCAAAGTAGTTCTAAGGCCGGTCAGGTTGACCACTAATCTTTTTCTGGATCCACTTTTGATCGATGTTTGATGGGTAGAACGTACAATCGGCGCAAACCAACATCTGAGGCATTATTGAATTCATCTTATCACAAAACGTTGCCAAAGATGAAGTGATAAACCCAATCGACCCAAAGTAAATAAATAATAATAATAATAAATAACTGTCCAAGTGGAAAATTCAAATTTTGATCATTGGATTCAATTGAATAGTTATCGCGACAGTCTCTCTGTCTGTCTGACACTTTTTCCATCAGAGCGTGAATCATTTGGCAAAGCTCCCTTTGTCTTTGTTTGTTTCACTTGCATTGTCTACTTCACATGTGTCTGGGTTTTATCCCCCCCCCCCCAACACACACACACACATTTCGGCCTCTTTTAACATTTTCATTGCTGTCACCTATCGATCACTCTGTGTCCTATATTCACACAATGGCGGACATCAAATAGCGACAAACGGAGCCTGTTTCCACTTACATTCTATGGGCAAAATTAGTGTTTCTTGGACATTTGACTTCCGAACTTTGTTCCCTCCATCGCCCCACGGGTTGAATTATTAGCCTAAACTGACTGAGATCAGTCTCTAGAAAAGGCAGAATCAGCGCGATTCTTGGTTCATTTCTACTAATACGGAATGGGATAAGGCGCATTGATCGCGACGACTGCATGCCTTCTATTCCATTGTTTCGATGTGACAAAACCATAGCAAAAAAAAAACCAGTATTTTCGTATTCGAATCACAGCTACTTGTGAGTAGTGGTGTAGGATAGGTTATATTGATGTGGACTGACCATCCTTTAGACGTCAGTCCTCAGTTCATCCAATCAACCATCCACCCGGGAAGCACTGGAAACGAGTTTCGCTCTTATTGGAGCTCATTAGTAGTGCGTATCCATCGTTTTGTCCGGGCTATGGCCTCCGAACCCATCTTATGGGTTTTTAAATGAGCTCCAGTTAGTACTTCTGACCACTGTACCATTCTTCTTTACCCCAAAATATATTGTAAAACTAATCACTGCCTTGATACACGACCCACTTCTCGTACGCTACGGAAGAGAAATTGTTCTCCTGAGAACTTGTCCCGACTGCGGGACTTAGTTTCTTCCACTGAATTTTCTGTGTTCTCCCATAACCAGCTGTCTTCTTCTTGTGAACACCTTACCGATTATATTGATTTCTGCTTTGACCAATGCTGTCCTGTGGAAACTATTTATATTCTAACCGATCGGTTCGAATAGGTTCTTAAGCGACTTCGTCGTGCTAAAGAGACGGCATGTATGGCCGGCAGGCGTAACAGTATCAAAGAGCTCTCTGTTCTGATTAGAGCAGAAGTAAGACGCCTGAACGGGATGTACGTCGAGACTATTTTGGGCAACAA